ATATAATAAAATATAATAAATATATATATATATATATAATTATATATTAAAAAAACTTGATAAGAATTTGACATCTGACAAAAGTGGTAAATGTAGGCCCATCTCTTGAAGGTATCTGACGAAATCAATCTTTTAAGAGATATGACATAAATTTAATACGACAGTAGAAGCTTGAAAAGATACGACATTGGAATGGACCGAGGCATACGCAGTCATGAATGTTGTATGAGTGTTGCAACCGGAGAATTTTACAAGCAACTTCTTATCTCGAAAACAGTGCTACGCTATCGGCATATTGAGAATATTGTTTGCTCGTTTCTCTCTCTCTCTCTCTCTCTCTCTCTCTCTCTCTCTTTCTCTCTTTTCTATTTTCTACGAAAGAATTGGTAGATTTTTACTGAGAAAAATCTAGAAACTGATTTCTCTCTCTTTCCCTTTCTCTCTTTCTTTTTTTTTCTGAGTGGGGAGAGGGGTGGGGGTAAAAGGGGGGTAGGATTTTTCGTTTCTCTCTGTTTTCTCGTTTTATCTTTATCTCTATTGACCACCCTTGTGCTTGTTTTCAAAGGACGTCGTTGAGAATGTAGGAAATATCTTGTTAAGAAGAATCTTGTAAATGCCAAGAAAAATATTTGCCTTGTTTCTCTCTATCTTCATCTCTCTCTCTCTCTCTTTTCCACTTTATGTTTCTCTTTCTATTTCTTTCTTTCTTTCTTGCTACCATGTCTTCTCATTTTTCTTTTTTCTCTTTCTTTCATTCTTTATTTATTTATTTATTTCTTTCTTTATTTCTTTCTTAACGCGTTGTACGTTGTATATTTGATTTACCATTTTTCTTTGTAAAGTAAATTTAGTAGAAGAATGGAATATATTATAGAGAGTATACGGTAAAATCATTTTCTGAATATTCTCGAATTCGAGTTATAAATTGTTTCTTTTCTTTCTCGAATTTGTTTTCTCTATTTTTTTTTTTTTTTTTTTAATTCATGCAAATTATTTCGCAACTAACGATAAGAAAAATTATTATGCATATATCGATGTGTTAACTATTTGAATGTTTGACGTGTACAATTTACGAGTTTCGTTTTTAAATTTTAATAAAGTAAATTCATTAGAAGTACACGGGATTGTATAAAAATAAAAATGAAATTGTATAAAAATTAAAAAAAGAAAGAATGACGTGTGGGTGGGGTCGCGAGGGTCGGGGAAAGATACTTGAAAAAAAAAAAAAATAGAACAAATTACGTGTGTAAGAGGAAGAAAAGACTTTTATTATTCCTCGACGATTTGCATAATCTGAAAATATAATGTTGTATGAATTTCTTTTTCGCGATGTTTGGCGTACGTACGGGGGTTTTATATGAATATCAGAGAATCTTCCCGTTAGAATTTTAATATGAGATAGAATATGTTCTGTCAGCAATATTATCATCCAGAAACGCGTGGATTCATTTTTCCATTTCGACTCTCTCTCTCTCTCTCTCTCTCCCTCTCTCTCTTTCTCTCTGTATTATTATTATTATTATTAAAATGTAAATATAGATTTGTTGAATATTCGATGGATTTTCTTTTTTATTAAATCAAAAATTAATTAACGAAGGAATAAAAAATATCATATA